GTTTGAGGCTAGCCTCAGCAACTTAGAGAGTCCCTGTGTCAAAAAAAGGGGGTGGGCCTGAGGATATAGGTCAGTGGTAAAGTGCCTCTGAGTTCAATCCCTAGTTCTCCACCACAAAAAAAAGTCTCTCTTCATCCCTATTTCTAAGTTATTCCCTCCCTAAAGATAACTATTACTGGTTTCTCATTTTTATTTCTCCCACCTTCTTCTCATGGATAAAAATCATTTCACAGGCTAACATTTTTCAGTTTTCTCAATAATGTGAAGAATGAAAAAACCAATAATCCTTCCTTAGGAGACACCCTGTAGACTATTGTCTGCTCTCAGGCATGCTCTAGAGAATTCATATATTTCTGTACTTTAATTAAAATGAGGCAGCAGTAGAATTTAGAATTGGAATTCTTTCAGCCAAACAATTATCCTTACCTGGGGTATTTTCCACTTAGATATTATTAATCAGTAACTGGCATAATAAAGTTCTTTATACTTATGTATCATTGGCTATGTAAGAAATATTAAATACCCAAATCCATCCTTTTATATGAAGTCTAGGTGTTGGTATCATTGTGTCTATTTTTTAGACAGGAAATTTCAATGCAAAATACTTTGACCAAGGGCAAAAAGATAGCAAATATTTTCAGAGCTATAGTCTCTGTTTTTGTTACTGTAGATTAAACCCAGGGGTGCTTCACCACTAAACCACATTCTAAGCCCTTTTCATTTTTTATTTAGAGATTTTTAAATTTAGACACAGGGTCTAAGTTGCTTAGGGCCTCACTAAATTGCTGAGGCTGGCCTTGAACTTTCAATCCTCCTGCCTCAGTCTCCTGAGTTGCTGGGATTCCAGGTGTGTGCCACTGTGCCCAGCAATCACTGATTTTTCTTTTCTTTTTTTTCTCATTAACCTTTTATTTTAACTTAATTTACAATAAAGAAACAGAAAATAAGTTGATCATTAAAAAAATATCATAGCTGTCAATTTAAAATGAGATTCTTATTAAACAAAGCAATAACACTATACCCTATAATTACATCATTAATTTATATACAAGAATTGTGTGCAAAGTGCTTTTCATACTATAAAATAAAGACTTTGGAATAAGATACAAATGGTTATCCCTAGCAGTTAATTACCCCTGACTGCTTGTAATGAATCTCAATTTCCTACTTTCTTAATTTGCATTTTATTTATTTAAATACTAAGAGAAAAGCCACCATTTTCTGATTTCATACTTGATATCTAATTTTTTAAAATAATCCCTGATCCACAAGTTTAAACTTTATTTCTACATATAATTCAGTTACTTTCTCCATTTTTTTCTAAATAAGTAGAGGATAGGTTGTTTCTTTTTTGTCGTTTTTAAGCAAAGGTAGATCCTTTTAGACATGTTTAAATCTAGATGGATTAAAAACTAAAAAAAATGAAGTTATATGAAAGAAGAAATAAGAACATGAGTTTGGGAAAAGCAAATTGTATTCTCATACTTTTTCTTCAGGCAAATAAAGAACCACTCTGTATATTAAAGTTGGACTAATTTCTTCCCTCTTATTAAAAACACTCTGAACACATGCTAATCCCAACATCTTGCAATACAGAATTCTTCAAAATTATCTGTTACAAAGTCTCTGATTCATAGAAATCTTTAAAGCACAAAGTACATCTAACTAAATGTAGAGTTTTGTAAGGTATACAGGAAGAATGATTTTCCAAATCTTCAAGGATCTAAATTACAGTCTTCCTTTTAGTCTAAAAGGTGAAATGTGGGATAGAGGGACTTAAATTTTCATTGGTTGAGCATGCCTATTCATATAAAAGCATATGGCCTGTTAGCTTGCAAAACCTTCCAATACCCCTAATGAAGTATGTATATCCAAATATTATACCCCCAAGGAAAAACTGAGGCACTAAGAGGTTAAAGAGTCCAGTCTGTATAGTTTACCAGTTGCAGAAAAGTGATATTAATGTGTTTCCTTTTTTACCTTTGTAAAAACAGTATAAATAAGTTTTCATTTTATATTTCAAAGCACCCTATGAAGCATACACTAGATATCCTCAAAGAAAAATAATTAGAAAGGAATGTATGTATAGATTGAATTAAAATCTTATAGGTTATATCTGTAGGCTCAGAATAAACTTTTAAATCTATTACATTAAGCCCATTTTTCATAATTTCCATCATCATGTTATGTCTATCTGTAACTCATTTGTAAAAACTAAGTCTAGTACAAAGGGATATAATTTTTAATAATGATGCCTGACATTAACTCTGAGATGTGACTACTCAAGAAAGATTATGTGCAGCCCACAAAGTGAATGTGGAGAAGATTCTTCCAACAGTTTCTACTACTTGGCATGGCAATTCAGTGACTAATATAAAATCCATTTACCCTCATTTGAAACTCATTCTTGGTTTACATTCTTTCTCATATTTAACTTAGAAAATGAAAAATACCCACTTATATAAATCGATCTCATTATCAGACCTGTACCTTGGGAAGCAGCTTATATTTCTCTATGGAAGATAATCAGGTAAATGTTACCAAACAATAATTTAATGTCCTTCAAGTTCAAGAGTAGGGTACAATATATGTTACTTATAACCTAGTTTAGATTGATTATTCAAGTATCAGCACTATTAGTCCTTAAAATGTTATCATTTGTGTAGTGCAAAAAATATGTGTGTATATATGTACACAAACCAAACTACTGGACAACAAAAAAGAAATGTAATCATCACAAATTAAGATTTTCTTGTGAACTCCACAATCCATTTCATTCTGAGGTCATCCAGGCCCAGCAGTCTTCTTAAGTAAAATATAATTTTCTTCAGTTCAGTTTTCTTCTCCTTCTTTGATAATACAAATGCACCAACCACTGGGCAATAAAAGGCCATATAATAGCAAAAGTTAATGCACCAGGAGACATCTCAAAGGGCCACCAAGATGGTCTTTGTGAGGAAGGTTGAGTACTAGTCTGCAATGTTGATGATTTTGCCTGCGAAGCAGTTAGTGTTTCCAGTTTTTGAAGTCTCTGAAGGACATTCTGCATGTCCTCCTGCAATCTCATGAGCACTAGAGCAATCTGCTCATTGAGGCTGCCTCGTGATCCTCTGTCTGAGCCCCAGCGTTCTCCGTCACCTCCACTTCCCACTTGCCCACCTTTGGTTCCTTCGCTCCAATGTGGCATCCTATGTCCTCTCCCTCTTCTGACATTAGAGAATTCCTCATTTTCTCCGCCTCGCTTCTCACGGTGTGGTGCTCCACTGTTATTTCTGCCATCTTCTCCTCCATGCTTTACTTCACCTTTTCCTTCAACTGTTACCACCTGCATATTTCCAATGTTGCCACTTCCAGGAGATACTTGGACATCTTCAGGAAAACCAGAATTTTCCAAGGGCTGATTGCAATCACTACCCAAGTAATATTGAAATGGTCCATTGTTTGATGTAAAACTGTCTAAAGACTCTTCTTGTCCAAATTGCTCCATAGAATCACAGTAAACTTCACTATCTGAATCACTTGTCAAATGCTGAATTCCTGAAACATCTTCAACATGATCATCATTTATATCTTGGTGAATGCAGGCAGCAATTTTTTCAGTTTGCTCCATGTTTTTATCAACAGGTTTTACGTCATCAGCACTTTGGTCACTTGGAGAAGAGTTAGCATGAATGTCATTTTGTATCTCCTGAACAAAGCTGTCTTTATCATAGCCATTCGTGATAATAATCTCCAAATTCTTATAATCTGATTTCTTCATCATCTGCTTAGCATTATCCATTTGTTCTGCTCCTTTTACTTCTTGGGCCTCTTCTTCC